TGTAATTTTTTTGACACAAAGTCTAATATGTGTGTGTGTGTAATTTTTTTTGACACAAAGTCTAATGAATTCCAGACTGGCTTCAGACTCCCTGTGTAGCTACGACTGAAGATGACCTTAAAGATCTGGTCCTCCTGCCTCTACCTGCCCAGTACTGGGATTATGGGCATGTGCTGGGAACTGAACCCATTATATATGCTAAGCAAACCCTATACCAACTGAGCTACATCCCATCCCAATTATTTATTTAAATCAAGGTGTTGGTTAAATATAAAATGTGTCTCCTAATTTCAATGTGTTTATAATATCAGTAGACATGTGAAAAACTTCAGTATACTAAATGACTTAATACTAATATTAAATATTTAATAGGGCACCTAAGGTAGGAACTTTGTAGATCTGCACTGTGCAATATGGCGGACATTATACATGTGACTAGTGAGCAACTGAAATATGGCTTCTCTGATTTTCAGTAAATGTTAAGTATAAAATATATACTAAATTCTGAAAGCTTGTCATAAAAAGAGAATATAAAAGTTAGCTAACTTTGCAGTGATAGCATGGTGAAGATGGTTTTGATGTTGGAATAAAAAAATATAATACTGAAATTAATTTTACCTCTTTAATCAGACATTTTAAAAATGTGATTCTTGTAAACTTCAAAATATATGTCTTGCATGATATTTTTAAAGGTTTTTATACGTGTGTGTGTGTGTGTGTGTGTGTGTGTGTGTGTGTCCCTTCAGAGGCCAGAAGAGGGCATCTAATTCCCTGGATATAGAGTTGCAGGCAACTGTGAGACGCCTGATATGGGTGCTGGGAATGGAACTCTGGTCCTCTGAAGAGCAGCAAGTGCTCTTAACCACTGAGCATCTCTCTAGCCCCTTGCATGATATTTTATTGTCCCATAAAACCTTCTATGATGATGAAAAGGAATATTCTCTTTTCTTTCTAATAGAATAACCTCTGGTCAGATGTGGCATCTTAGAACTGAATTATGGCTAAGGTAGATGGAAA